TACGATTGCTGTTACATCGGATTTTCGGTCATCGTTTCCCTCCTCTAATATCTGCACTAGAATGACTGAGATTATCGTATAGAAATTGACTGTCGTGTCTTCTGTTTAGAGCACTGGGACAGTATTCTAATAGAGATGGAACAATATTTTTTAAACACGTTTCACAAAATAAATATGAATATTTTATTATAATATTTTTATGTATTTAATATTTTCGTAAATTGATGAACAGATAATGATTAATTTATAATATTTAATTCAGTATGATTAATTAATCATCAATATATCTACACACACGTTATATTTACAGTAGCACGGATCACAACAAGCGTATTAACAATTACGTATCTATGTATACAACTACGTATTAAACGCGAATACGCGAATCATTTAGTAATTCTTCAAGCTCTAACGAATGAGTTTTTCTATCCAATATGGGATTGTCTCTATTTTCACGTGCATATTAGTTTTACCGAAGCTTCTCTTTAATACAGTGTCTACATCGTTACTCTTTTTAATGGGCACATTAATACATATATATATATATATAGATATATGTATGTATGTATGGAAAGATTTGGTTATATAGAAATACGGTAATGATAATAATTGGGTACGTAGGTAGGGTGTATGAATTTATTGCGTATGCATGCAATTTGAGTATGTATGTATGGTGTAATCCATTATGGTATGATCATGTACCTTATTTGGCATTCAATGGACACATTATCAACAACTTGAAAGAATTCATGACGAGTCATATATAGACATATATACGTATGTATGTATGTATGTATATATAGGAAGAAGCCAGAAGCAGCAGACAGACAACGATATATTATGATAATAAAATGACAAATCTAATTATGCATATACTGAAAGTAATTTTGAAATGAAATCTCACGAATTGATATTTTAATTATTTACACACACACACACACATATATATACATATACATACACATATATATATATATATGGATATATAAAAACTGAGCAAGTACCCATTAATTATGAAAACGATCTACCACCACCCAGTATCGTTTGCCGATTAACGAGGTACCAAATGGTTGTATGGATATATCTCTGTCGCACCAGAAAAGTTTTTTAATTTACGAAATTAAAATTAATGGATATATATATGTACATATATATATAGTTTAAAATTAATTTATTGGAAAAATGAAATTTAATATTTAAAATTATTATAATAAAAAAAAAATTAAAATAAAAGAGTGTAAAAAAAAAAAACAAACATGTTAAGATCCGACGTACAAATGATTGCTGCTGTGGAGATTGTCTCCTCGAGACAGTGCAACGTGGGGCCCAATTTTGGAAGTGAGTGGGTCCCACTCCTCTTCCCATAAAAAAACATTTATCATTCTCTAACACATCTCTCACACGTCATGTCTCTGACTGACCCAACCAAACTCATCATTACTCACTCACACGGAACTCACGTGACTTCTCACCCACACTCCATTATTACCCACGCAACTCTCTGCTTTTTATTAATTATTAAAATTATTTTAAATCTGACAGGTCTTGTACTAATTTCCAAAATCAATTTACTGGGTTTTATTTTTTAATTTATAAATATATATTATTAGCAATGTCTAATTAACATTAATATAACTAATCTGTAATTAAGAACCATAATTTAAACACGAAACGAGTGTTTCAATAATTTTATTTTAAAAATTAAAAAAAAAAATCATTATTAATTGGAGCAATTAAAGAGACTATGTTATATAAATTGACCAATACCCACTTTAATTATAAAGAGATATAATGATGTATAATAATTAGTGGGAATTTGACCAAATTATTATAATAATTTTTAATTAAAAATCATATAGTTTAAAATTTATCTAATATTTCATAAAAAATAGTTGTATTGTAATTAATGAAATTGACTTTAAAAACTAAAATAATTTTTTTAGAAGTTATACATTAGACGTGTATATATATATATATATATATATTGCTTTAAACATGTTATTTTGTTATAATTATGCATATTTTAGATATTTATTTTCTCAACATAAATATATTGTATAAATCATATAAAATAGACAATAAAAATTCAAATTAATGGCATTTAAATATATTTTTACACTTAATTACGTATTAAATTAAAATTTTAAATAATAATTAAACTATAAAAAAATAAAATAAAATAAATTCCTGCGGGACTGTACGTATATATTAATCTTGTATGGAATGATTGATAGTTGTTTGGTATTGAAGGGTGTGGGCCCATGAATCAATTGATTTTTTTTTTACACGAACAATCCAAGTAATATGAATCTTACATTTTTGTATTTTTTAAGATTAATGCATACCTCATAAAGTAATTATTAATAAAATAAGATTAAATTTAAAT